AGTCTGATCCCAGTGACACAGACCCTCGGCCATCACGGTGATGAGCATGGCCCGCGGCCTGTCCCTGTCCACATGGGGACGCTTGTGCACCTCACGGAGAGGCCTCGACAATAGGGGATCGCCATCGGGGGGGGGGGGGGGGGGGGGGGGAGTGTAGGGGGAGCTGGCTCTTGACAACGCCGTGACATAGGGGATTACCACGGCGACGGTTCGCCACTTGCCTGGGACTCGATGTAGGTGCTTACCACCTGATCGTGGCGAACGATGGGAAAAGCTGTTGAAAACAGTGAGTGAAGGAAGAGTAAAACAGTGTTTTTCCTACCAGGACAAAGCTTTGAAGTGTAGTTATGACCTTAAGCATGAACTACAAACGTCATACAGAAGCAGTTGGCTCCAAAGGTTCCGGGTCGTCATAAAGTTACTCTGCATTCAATCATTAATACGTATGCTATATCTCCTCCTGCGATGCATTCACTCTGCGCTGCGGGAGCGGCGCAACGAATTTTGAACGGGCAAGGGGACTTTTATAGGAGTCTTGGACAAAATGTCACAGGGCCAGCATCATATTCAAAGGGGGGGGGGGGGGGGAGGGCTTGCACCCCTTGCAAAACATTTATTGCATGCAACAGTGCCCATGTGAAAAACGTGGATAATCCAAAAATTCCCAAATGAGGGGCTCTGATAAATGTAGGAATCACGATCCAGCGAAGGGCCTACCTTTTTAAGACAGGGTCTCCTGTTTCATAAAAAATCATTTTGATGCATCAACAAGTCTTCCAATCCAAAACAAGGTTCTTCTGGCCCACTAAGAGGGCCTCCAAATTCGCCAAAGGGCTTCATTATCTCAAAACAGGGCATCCGGATCCGAAACAGCAACTCTCCGGCACCTTACAGGAGCATCCTGGTCTAGAATAGAGGCCTCCTGATAAATGAATGCATATCAGTAGGGAACTTCTAAGTCTAGAACAGGGGACTTCTAGTTTATAATGAGGCCTCCTGAGCCAGCAGAGGGTCTCCTTAACACAGAGCAGAGACTTCTGATCCAGAAAATGACCCTCTTTAATGCGGACAAAGGTTTTGTGAACCGGATTCAGTACTCCCTAGCTTATGTATTGAGTCATTCTGCTCTTGAAAAAAGCCTTCAGTCTGGGCAAAATAAGCCTCCAAAAATGTTGAGTGGAAAACATGCCTATGCCCTCCTCTGCCCCCCCCCCCTCTGCTGTGCCGCCCCTGCCCTATACTGCAACGTTTCTGAGAGGCTTGGACCGTTAACGTCAGCCATTTGCGGGGTCAGTGCGTTATAGTGGTTGCCAGCTTTACGGTAGTGCTTTTTTGTACCATGCGTTGCGGTGCCGGGAGCTGAAACAAGAGTAAAAAAAAATGACGGTATGTCCATTTTTTCATCGTTCTGTTTTGGCTTATTTTTTCCTGAAATGTTTCGAACTCTACAGCAAAGCGAGACAACTTTTTAGAAGGTCTGGCATTTCAAAAAATGTCCTGCACTCGCCCTTCTCTGAAACATGTGTCTCTGCATCATCAAATACGTACCGCTGATGATCTTCCAGCGTGTTGTCGTTGTATGCCATGTGAAACAGGAACTTTAGGTCGATTATCAAGAGCAAAGATAGCCGTCTTTTTTGTTTGATAAGTGACTCGCTCCTGTGCCAAGACAGCTGTTGGCAGACATCATAACGTGTTACATGCGCACCTGAAGAGCTAAAGGATAACACCATTACAACGGATTCGAAACAGCAATTTAACTACACAGTTCATGGACCAATCAAGAACTTACTTCGCTTAAATGTATGTATCGAAAGAGCGAGGAGCATTACCACTGACTTTTCCAAGGGGAGCAAACATATTTGGGAGTCTCCTAAGCAAATTTGGGGCCGTCTTGCCGAACACCCATTTATATTTTTCCCTCGAATTTCACACACAATTTCGGAAGCACCTCTTAGGTATACCTAACCAAATCAGACATATTCCTAGTCCGGTGGGACATACATTCTTTCTAATTCGGGACTTCTCTTGGGATTGTGGGGTTACAATACTTTCAAGATGCCTCATTGTATCGGATGGCATCTCCTCGAAATATTTGTAACCCTCTGTCAACAGTAGGACCTCATGCTGACCCTCTCAAACCTCTTACTCATAAGTATTGTCCTCTGCGTGCCTTAATGCTCTCCTTTTGAGTTGATGGAATATTCCGTCTGGAACATCTGGGGCGTCCTGACGGCAGGACGGGGCCTCCTGAAATATCAAACAATGAGACAAACAGGTATGCTGGCCCTTAGCGGGTGGCAAAGAGACAGTTGCCACCATGTCGCCTGGTAGCACGGCACCTGGAAAGTGCTTTTTCCTACGTTGGGCAGCCTAAGACACCCCGAAATGAAGTTTTTTCCCGAAATTGGGTCACGGTATGTGGGCATTCAGACAGAGCAAGATGTCATGTTACAATTTGTTTGTGTTTGCATGTTTGGTTGCATTTTCCATGCGAAGTGTTTACGGTTTCACTGCCTCTACTTTCAGCTGGGGGCGTTAGATTGTCAGTTAAGGGAAAGGAGCGAGTTGCTCGAGTGTCTCCTTCTGAACATGATCATACACCTCTGCTGTGGCTCGTATCAGTCAGCTGCTCGATGGTCAGGATGAGAAATCAGGAACGGCAACCAACACGGACGTATGCGGGACATACAAGGGGAATTGTCTATGGAAGGTCCTTTATGGTGCGCCGCAGGTGCACGGGTTTCTTGCATGGCGTATAGGGGCACGGATTTTTCATTCTTTTTTAAACAATCTGTTTTGATTTTCAAATTGCCAGTTCATTTTCAAACATATATCAATGCATGTCAACATTTGATGTGGAAGTAGGGACGTTCCCTGTCCCCCACAAACCCCTGACCCCTGGAGCTTTAACAATTTCGCACCAAAAGAGAATCCGCTGAACACGTTAGGTACATTCCATGCGGCCTAGCTGCTGTTTACATACATCAGGGTCGGGGGAGAGGAAGCCGATTGTACCGCGTCCAAATGATGGAACCATCTCCACTCCCACCCCAACACTCGGAGCTGAGAACAGCGTGTTGGTAGCACTGCTGCCTCGCCCCGGCGTGCGTCCAGAACTTCATCCCACAACTGCGTCGGTCAACGGGCTGCGCCGGTGCCCAACTACCAGCGGTCGCCGCGCAAACTCCGCCGCCGCAGCTCCTGTCTGGGAGCAAAATGCAAACCAACAAGGCTCCCGCAGGGCCCGCGAGCGTCTGCAAGGGTCAGGCCCCATGGCCGTGACCGAGAGGAGATGCGTCTCAACGCACCGGCCCGTTCCAAAGTTAGCGCGCACCGCCCAAAAATAGGTTTGCGCAGCTAAACTGGGCACCGCGGCTGGTGCGTGTCGGCGTCGGTCCTGACCTGGAATCTGCGTCGCATCTGGAGCCGCCGGCTGCTGGTGGTCCCGGGCGCGCCGCCGCCGCCGACCCGGCACCGCACTGGTGTGAGCCCGCACGCCGGACCGCCGTCACCCTCCGCCGCGCAACTAAATATTGCTTGAATCAAACTAGAATGCAGTGCTGTCCTTATGAATGAGCCATCACTCCTATTCGTCGGCGCGAGGTATGACGTCACGGCCAGGTTGGCGATCACGGCCGGCGATTGGCGGCGGTGACGCATGCGAGTGACGTCACCCCTATTGATTGAGACTGTCTGCGGAGGCCGCGGTCGGCGGCAGAATGCGAACCGCCCTGTGCGACTCTGGCGATCCGGACCGCGTCAGTTCGGCCGGCACGGGCGGTCGAGCGCCGTTCTAGCCCACTGGCATACTGCGGGCCTTAGGTCTCTCAGCAGCTCGGGCGCGTGCCGGCAGTGCCTGCCACACACCGCTGGGAACTGGAGCTGAACCAGAAAGCGGTGGCACCCCCGACCCCGAGGGGGCTTAAACAAGCGCCCTCAGTCCAGGAGGGGGGGGGGGGACAGGTGGAAGGAGGGCATGGTCTTCTAGGAGCTGCGGGAGTCTTCACAGTTCAAAATAATTACGAACGGTACTGGTTTTGGTTGGTACTACTGCCCTTAACCTCCAAGCTAAAAAGATCGACAAAGCTTCCCCGGAGCGTGGGAATGAACCTTAGAACCTTTGAAAATGGATATTCGAGCTTGGAAACAAAAACATTAGCTCGCATAAATGGTCTCAAAACTTTATAACGTCAATATCTTCTGGGAAATGTTCTCGAATCTGTCCTGCAGGTGTTTGAAGACTAAACACGACCTCAATGCTGACGGCGTGAGGCAACTTTTCATAAAGGCTGGAGTCATGTACGGTATTCCCGAGCTACCTCAGGTGTTGATGAATGAAAGGAATCCCACGCTGCGCACTATGCTTGCACTAGTTTAGATATAATAACTATCTGCACTTACCCACACCACATAACCAAGTATACTTTTACTAATTTCGTCATTCCAGTACGCCTGGGCTTAAAGGGAATGCCTCACATTTGAAGACATTGAAGCAAGCAGCAGACATGATGAAATAAGCTCACTTAAAACAATCTTTGTACTATTAAGAGGAAAAGAGCGCTCTAGGCGACACAATTTCCCTTCTTAGAGCACAGGGGGGGGGGGGGGGGGCTTTGGGGAAATGGTATGTAAGAAATAGTCTGCACATCTTCACGTGCGGCTAGCTCAGAAGCTAGAGGGGTTTGGGTCTTAAGAGGGGCAGGGCTGTGAACTGCACCGAATGGTCTTCAAGACGACTATTTCAGCTAAAAAAAACATACAACTGTGGAACACTGCCCAGGCTGCACTTGCGCACATATAAATAGGCTCGCATTCCACAAATAGCCTGCAATTGACCCGGCAAAGCAGGAGCTGGTCGGGTACAGAGGGACATAAATATTGGATTATGGATACGCGCGAAAGTTGCTGGCGCTCACCGCCCGAGTCTGACGTATGTGCAAGGGCGCCCCATGGAGTTGAAATGTAGGTGCGAACGGCGGCCTGACGTCAGTAGGCACTTAGTGGACGCCGACCAGTCTTGGCGACGGTCCCAGTTGCTGCGCGCCGCCCAGCTGCACTGAAACAGGGCCCGTCACAGCACAGTGGTGTCATGCATACCGACCGAAATAGGCCAGCCCGCTTCTGACGGCCGAATGGTGAATGGTGAATCGAATTCGCCTATCTGTCAATGTCTGATCTGTCGATAACTTGGCTCGTTCGTTCATCCTTGGTGTTTTTATACTCATGCTGCATGGGTCGACCGGCTCGATCCTCCGTTAATGCATCAACCCTCTAAAATACTAAACTTTTCGCGTGATTTTCGCATTGCACCATGCACTTGAATCAAAAATATCTCCTTCATTCGGATCGAGTCGTCAACGTTCTGAAACTGGACCAGCCCTGGCTGAACGTGCTGACGAGACCGTTCCAGGGCGGACACAGCATGGTGGCAACGCCGTCACTTCCGACTGTGGTGCTGCTCAGCGTCCTAACGGAGATGCCCTCCACGTCACCATCGGCATCCGAGCCACGGCCCTGGCACTCCCGCAGCACAGGAATGACCTCGTGCGCGCAGCGGGACCTTGCGTGCGCGGAACGAGCGTAAGGCGTGACCTCGGTCTGTCTTGTCCGGGCGCTCGGATTTGCTTTCGGTTTCCAGAATCGATGCTGCGTTATTTTTGTATCGGAGTTGCAGGTCTTTACGATGACTTCACGACCTTGAATATGCCAAGAGTACTGCTTAAAAGACGTAATGTGAAATCATTATATTGACGGTGCTCACTATTTCAAGCTGTGAGCAATCTTGAGAGCAATGGAGATGTTCCCTATTGAGGGTTACCACAGCTCCAAGTATTGAGTACCGTCAAAATGATCGTTCTTCGGCATTACAACGTCGTTTAACCAAACCCTCCTACATATACCTTCAGTTATTACACGCCGTTCATTTATACTTTAAGTCTTGACACACTGGAGGTCGTCAAGTTCACACAAGTTCACAACGCCGACAACCAGGAGCCGAAGACCTTTCTTCCTTATATCAAGTTTGTGGTACCGGTCTACGTGTCAGAGCTGCCCCTGTCCCGGCCCCAGCACGGCTGGTGTGTGGCAGCGTTACCCATGAATCAGTCCTAGCAACCAAGGCCTCAGTCATGGCCGTATTCGAGCCCTCAGTCTAGCTATTGACCATCGCACCTCATGCTCGCCTATTTCCTGAAGTGTTCACGCGCTCAATGTGTCTAGGTTCACTCCATCTCACTCTGGGTATCGCGGTCATCCCCGAATCACCCCGACGCGTTTTAATTTCTCAATGAGGTTTTTTTACTCAGCTTGGTGTACAGCTGAACGTGCTACCTCATCCTCGTTTCAAAACCCATCATTATGATGTTGTTTCACTCTGACGTCCTGCCATTGCCTGCCCGACCTGTAATTCAGAACGCAGGACATGTCCGGCCCCGGCCACGGACGGAACCCCATGGCTTCGGCCAGCGTCCAGCAGCGCACAGGGAAACAGGACGGTGCCGGCGGCATGTTTATATGCACACACGGTGTACCAAGCGTCCGATGGCAGCGGTTCAGTGCGACTAGCACACAAAGAGTATCACAGAACGGCTCTGGGTCCGGCGGGGGTCCGCCCGGCCCACCGCCTCCCAGCAGCGCGGCGGCAACACCGCGCCGCTCGCCAGCGCCCAGCAGCAGCGCCCGAGAGAGCCATAACAACCCACCCGACTTCAGAGCATGCAGCAGCGTTCTCACCCACAAGCGCTCAAAACAGGCCGTTCTCCAACAAAGCCGGAATGCATCGCGTCCCGTCCGTCTATAATATGGCCAGTTAAACAAGCACCTCACATCCAGCCCGCCCCGACAGCACTAGGCGCGGCGGCGGACGCCGGCCAAGCCGGCCGCCGCCGCCGCCGAATCACTGCACGTCTATGAAGGCCGCCCCGGACGCGCGCGGCCGGTCGTCGCGCGGCCCGCTCACAGCTCCTGCTGCTGCTGCTGCTGGGCCTTGCGCCACGCCTCCAGACTGCACTGGATGGCCCGCAGCCGCTCCTTGGCCGGCTCGAACGACGACTGCAACGCTAGCGTCGACTGGTAGAACGAGATGGCCTTCTCGAGGTCACCCTGGCGGCGGCGGCGGGGGCGGCGGCGGTGACAGGCGGTCCCATCCCCCGCCGGCCCCGTCCCACGCGCCACGGCCGAGCGTCGCACATCGGGCCGTGTACAAGGGTGCGGGGGCGACTCGTCCATTGGCGGGTGCTCTCGGTGATGTACTGCCTACGCGACATTCTTAAGGCCGGCTCCTCCAGCGAGCGAGATTACGGCGCCGACCAAAGCAAATAATCGCCACGGACACGCTGAAGCGTCGCACATGACGCCGTCATGCGCAGATGCATCACATAGAAGAGCGTCACACGTCGGAACGTCACACGTCGGGAGCGTCACACGTCGGGAGCGTCAAACATCGGCGCGTCACAGGGGCGTCATACGTTGGAGTATCAAACTCAAAGAACCACACATCAAGCGTCACACCACGGAACATCACACGACGCAACATCACGCCCCGGAGCGCGTCGTCGTCGAACGTCGAAGGGTCACATCGGGTCACGTCGAGCGTCACACGTCGAAGGGTCACATTCGAGGGCGTCACACGCTACAACATCACACATCGGAGCGTCACATCCGGAGTGTCACACTACGGAGCGTCATACCCAGGAGCATCACACGTAGTAGCGTCACACGTCGGAGTGTCATAGCCCACAGCGTCACACGTCGGAACGTCGCACGTCAGAGCGTCACAAGCCAGAGCGTCACACCCAGGAACGTCACACGTCAAAGCGCCACACCCGGTGCGTCACACATCAGAGCGTCACACGTCACATCGTCACACGCCAAAGCGTCACAGCCACCCCGGAGCGTCACACGTCGGTGCGGCACACATCAGAGCCTCACGTCAGAGCCTCCACGTCAGAGCACCACAGCCAGAGCGTCACACGTCAGGGCGTCACATGTCAGAACCTCCACGTCAGAGCACCACAGTCAGAGCGTCACACGTCAGGGCGTCACACGTCAGGGCGTCACACGTCAGAACCTCCACGTCAGAGCACCACAGCCAGAGCGTCACACGTCGGGGCGTCACACGTCAGAACCTCCACGTCAGAGCACCACAGTCAGAGCGTCACACGTCAGGGCGTCACACGTCGGGGCGTCACACGTCAGAACCTCCACGTCAGAGCACCACAGCCAGAGCGTCACACGTCAGGGCGTCACACGTCAGGGCGTCACACGTCAGAACCTCCACGTCAGAGCACCACAGCCAGAGCGTCACACGTCAGGGCGTCACACGTCAGAACCTCCACGTCAGAGCACCACAGTCAGAGCGTCACACGTCAGGGCGTCACATGTCAGAACCTCCACGTCAGAGCACCACAGCCAGAGCGTCACACGTCGGGGCGTCACACGTCAGAACCTCCACGTCAGAGCATCGCAGTCAGAGCGTCACACGTCGGTCTCGGCAGGCATCACGCCCAGCTGCCGCGGATGGCGACAGGCGGCAGCGCCCCCTACGTCCAGGCGGGGTCCGCAGACGCCAGCCTGGCCTTGAACGCTTCAACTATTCCCACCGCACCGCTTCGGCTATCAGGCGTGACGAGGCACGGCAAAGTCAGGCGGAGCACTCCCCAGATAATCTACTCTGCAATGTGCGTACGAGCTGTACGCACTGCATCACCTATGACGAGAAATCACTTTGACGTAGCAGTGTTCGATGTGAGGAATTTGACGTCATGTTTTAGTTCAATCAATGCGCACTAGGCGACCTGTTCTATATGCTGACCTTAGCGGCGTATATGTTGGCCATGGTGAAGTGGATGACGACAAACTTGGGCGATATCTCCAGCGCCATGTTGCATACGATCAGCGCATCGTTGTACAGGCCCGCTCTGAAACAGTCAATCATCTTCAGGACATTTGAACATTGCAGCTGGCTGAAAATACTTGTTGCCGCTCTCTAATTTTGACCCGTGAATACCGGCGTGCACTGGTAGGAGGCGTCGGAGCTACAACAATACTTTTGGAGCACGGCATTGCTGGCTTTGCTGTCATTCATTTGTCGTTTCATGTATTTATACAACATCGACTTCACCATGTCACTGCCACCACTAACAACACGAAATGCTACATGACAGTGCCTAATATTGTCATGTCAGACAATATGTAGTCACACTGCTTCTCTGAAAAAGCAGCGGTGTAATCAACAGCCAACTGCATAAGATCCAACCTGTCTTCGGGCTGTAGTGGATAAATATCTTTGCAGCTGTTTTTTTTTCAAGGACATGATATTTCTGAAACTTGACTGGTGTATGTGGAGATATTCTACATATCTTTAGACACTTGGTGATCGCGTATCTTTCAGTCCAACTTTTCTCAAGTGCTTCTGCTGCATTCTCAATGTGCCCACCACCGTGTGAACGCTTACAATACGAAGCATCTAACTCACATTGCTAGCATACTGCTCCACTTAACCACGCTCCCTCGCAATATCCTGTGCTGCAATTGAGTATTTGTCAGTTTCTCCAAAGCGCGTCTCCCGCAGTTTCTGCCAGCCACTTGCAACGGGCAAAGCCGGCCGGCAAAGGGTCCATCAGCCGCTGTTCCAGCTAATGTCAGCCGTGCGCCGCTGACCAAAATTATGTTGCGACTGGGCGTTCTGTTGCGACCGGACGTTCTGTTGCGACTGGGCGTTCCTGTAACACACCACGGGCGCATAGCTTCGACGGGGAGGAGGGGGCTGCCGCAGCGCCCCCGCCGATCAAGCCGGTCCGCCCAGCCGGCAAGGCCACCTAGCGGTCGGGAGGCTGGCGGCGGCATGGCCGGCACGCGCGGCTCCTTACCGGTGCAGGATGTTAGCCAGCGAGATGAGCGGGATGTCCTTGAGGTGGCGCGGCGCGTGGTGAAGCGCGATGCGCAGACAGCTGGCGGCGCGCGGCCCGTCGCCGCGCACGCGCCAGTACAGCGCCGCCGCCGTCGTCAGCACCCACGAGGTCGAGTTCTGCCGGGGAGGCAGGATTACGCGTCGACACAGAGTGGCGTCGAGGCGGCGCGCGCGCCGAGGGACTGTAAACACAGTCACGCCATCTCCCTGGCCAGCGAGATCTGTGGTTCACTCCTGACCACGCCATCTCCTGTGGACTCTGCAGTCCGCTCTCCTGTTTGCTCCAAGGCATGTCGCTGGACTGAGTCATACCCACGGACATGTCGAGTACTGAGTCGAGGTCATCCGTAAACCCAGCACAAGGACGCCATGACCACACCGCGGCCGCGGCGGTACCGCCAGCGCACGCCACTCAGCGTAGCACTCGCGGCACGCCGCCGCGTCACGAGCCGAGGCCCCGACACTGGGCCGCTGAGCGGATCACGACCCCGAACGGCCGGCTAATCGGACCCGCGCGACCCGAGGCCGGCCTGGCGCGGCGCGCAGACCCGCCCCGCCCGCCCGCCGGCCGCGCCCGGCGACCCGCTAATCCCTGGGTGCGGACGGGCCGGCTCGGCGCCGACGACATGCCGCTGCGACGCGGCCGAAGCGCGGCCCGCCGAACCCGCCGACGCCGCCACGGCGCGGCGGCGGCTGATCCGTGAGACCCGGGGTCCGGAGCCGCGCAGGCCGGCGCCACTCGGCGTATCGCTCCGAGCGGCGCTGGCGCGCGGGCCTCTCACCTTGTCCATGCTCGGCGGCTGATCCGTGAGACCCGGGGTCCGGCGCCACTCGGCGTATCGCTCCGAGCGGCGCCGGCGCGCGGCCTCTCACCTTGTCCATGCTCATGGCGATGCGCGTGCCGGTCTCGTCGACGGTGCGCGGCTGGTCGGCGGTGAGCGCCTGCAGCGCCTCCTTCAGGCCGGTCTCGGCGCTGATGGACAGCTGACGCCGGTGGCGCACGCCCGACAGGTTGTCCAGCGTGGCCATCGAAGCCGGAAACTGGTCCGGACAGACGGGCTGGCGCGGCTGGTACACGCCCATCGGCGCCGGCACCAGGTCCACGCTGGCGGGACGGACGCACACCCGTCACCGCTGCAACTCAGGGTGCCCGGGTCAGGTCACAACACACCAGTCCTTCCACTGTCGCGCCGTCCGCATTAGAGGGAATAGGCAACGGAGGGGGGGGGGTCGCCTGAAGTCCTTTTTGGTTGTTTTAGCGCTGCAGATAACTCCCGACATGTAGCTAAAAATTAGCCGAAGTTACACTGTACAATAAAGTACGACCCCTCAACATTGCGCAGACATATCCAAAAAGGTCGACACTGTAATCTTTTTACGTGTTCTTATCACGAGACCGCAGAACAAGAAAACCTCTTTAAGAAAACCCCGGCTGCGTCCGTGTGGGCACGCCTGTCAGCGGCCACCTAGGGGGCCTCATGTCAGGTCACAACGCACGTCACCACGCGACACAGAAACACCGTGCCCCGGGGTTTCCCCGAAGCTACTCTCTGCCGTCACCAGCCCCACCCCCCCCTACGCCGTCACCACCCCTCACTCACACCACGTTCTTGGCCGAAACGGACAGCCACGTGGACGTGTACTGACTCCAGTTGATCTGCTTGATGTCGGCGCACTGCTGGGCGCTGGGCGGCGGCGCGGCGGCGCGCTCGCGCACGCGCAGCAGCACGTCCGGCAGCGGGTCGTCGACGATGCCCCGCTCGTCCAGCGACGGCACCGGCTCGGTGATAACGTCCAGCTGCTCCTCCAGCTCGTACTCGGCGTCCGCCGGCGGCTCGTCCGGCTCGTGTCGGGTGTCGGCCGACTCGGGCGGCGCCAGCCGGTCGCAGCGCAGCTGCTCCTCGGCCAGGTACGGCGCCAGCTCCGGCGGCGGGAACGACGGCAGCTGGTCCACTGCCGGCGCCGGGCGCGGCCGTCACGCCACGGAGGAGACGCCGACGGCGGCAGCCGCGCGCCGCGGCCCTCAGCCGCTCTTCAGCCGGGCGCATTGGTGTGCGATGCCGACGGCGCCACACCAAACACGTTATCGGGACTTTAAGACCGACGCAGTGCATACACCTGCAATAATTCCGCTACGTCGGAGCCTCAAGGTCAGGTGGGGCGGCTACTCCACGATCCCTCGCCTTTTGCGACGCCACTACTACGCCATCACAGCAGCTTAAGCGGACGGGTCGCACGCGTCACGACACACCCGGATTGGGAGTAATAACGGCAGCTGGCTCCCTAAATAGCCGCGGCACGAACACGGCTTCCAAATCGGCCACGCCCGTGGGCGGACGGGCGGACGGGCGAGCGAGCGAGCCAGCGGGCGGCCGGCGGCGCACCTGCGGCCAGCTGAGCGCCGTCCGGACCGCTGCAGTCCAGCTGGTCGGCCAGCGCCGGCGTCAGGATCCAGCGGCCGTTCTCGTTGCGCGCGTTGTAGCAGCTGATCTTGGACTCGCACGCGTCGCGGCCCTGGCCGTCGGCGCACTCGGACGTGCAGACCACGGAGTCGGGCGGCATCTTGGACAGCTTCTCCAGCATCGGGTCCCGCTCGGCCGGCGTCTGGGCGCAGCGGAGGACGGTCAGCGTGTCACTTCGCTGCCGCCAGCCGCCGCCGCACGCTCCACGCGGGATGAGAGCAGGGCACGGCACGGCAAGACGCGACATCACACCGCCATCACGTAACGGCAGCAATGAGCGTGTCGGGACAGCCTCTACAGCAGCACGCGCCTTCTGCCGAACCGAACATGCGTCTGACGCCATTCCAGGCTGTCCCTGGCCAGAGTCTGGCACCGCTACACCAGACTGACCTGCGCAGGGCTCTGGCACCACTGCCCCACACTGACCTGCACCGAGGTCTAACACCACCGCCCCAGAATGACCTGCGCCGGGGACTGACCTGCACCGAGGACTGACACCGCTGCCCCAGACTGACCTGGGCTAGAGTCTGGCACAGCTGCCCCAGACTGGCCTGCACCGGGTCTGGCACCACTGCCCCAGACTGACCTGCGACGGGGTCTGGCACCGCCGCCCCAAAATGACCTGTGCCGGGGTCTGACCCGCACCGAGGACTGGCACCGCTGTCCCGGACTGACCTGCGCCGTGGTCTGACCTGCGCCGAGGACTGGCACCGCTGTCCCGGACTGACCCGCGCCGAGGTCTGGCACTGCCGCCCCAGAATGACCTACGCCGGGTCTGACCCACACGAGGACTCACACCGCTGTCCCAGACTGACCTGCGCCGGGGTCTGACACTGCTGCTCGCCCCGCTGGTGGCCGTGGTAACGGGTGTAGCAGGAGACGACGCGCAGGTACTCCAGCGCCGCGCTGTGTGTCGACTCGGCCTGCAGCGCGCTCCGGTAGTGCCACACGGCGCCCGAGAAGTTGCCCTTGGCCGCCAGCAGGTTACCCAGCAGGAAATTCGTCTCCGGCTGAAGACACGAGCACGCATGTGGTGATCAGTCACAGACAACAGTGCTCGGACAGAGCAGCGCTGACACTGGTTTCTAGCACATTGCGAGTTGCTATTCCGAAAAAGTCGCCTTTTATACATCAGGAAGTAACGGTGAAATGGAGGTATCAAGCAATGTCTGGAAAATCTTAAGAGAATACTCGATGTTTCCAGCAGAGCTCACCGTCGTAACGGGGCAATGCCAGCAATGTGAAGCATAATCTATATCAATATAATCATAATCTATCCCAATGACATCTGGACGTATTCGTGTAACCAGCGCCTCCTGGTATGTTGAAGGCCGGTTGTTTTAAAAATAAGAGCTCATAATGCCGAAAAACAGGTGCCTCTCAAGGTTACCTAATTTCTGGGACCTTTACGTTACCATAAATCGTTTCGAGCGTTACACATGCCCATTCTTCGTCTGCTGCATGTGTCTCTAAGAGTCAAAAAGAGCGCGGCTAGGACTGCATTGTGGGACCAGCCAACGCAAGGTCACTTTGACAGAAAGTGTATGCACTAACGGACGAGAACAGCGACGGACACAATGGCGACTAGTAAATCATACATTATAGCACGGGACAAAACTGGAACTAGACACCCGTTAAGACCGGGTTACGTCGCATATGAGTGGGGCGAGTGAAAACGCCCAAAAACCATGAAGTCATGAAGTCATAATGCCATATGCGCCAAGGTCATAATTGAAAGGCACACAAATGTGGGATGCTCCCTTTAAGTGAAAACATGAGCATGTCCTCCATCAACGCTACTCTCTCTCTCTCTCCACTCCCCGGGAAGAATAAAAATGAGCTATCGTGTCACACAGAAACGCTGGCCATAACTAAACTGGGACAAAACGTGCACACCGAGACCAACAAAGTGCTCCGGCTCAGGTCCATCTCCTTCCCGCCCCACCAACCAGCGTTCCGTCCGTTTCCCAGGACTGCTCCCGCTTCACCGACGCCTGCGCGCAGTAGCAGCCGCCTCAGCCTGTCCGCTCCACTTCCTGGTCACCCTCAAGCTCACTCGCAATTTGCCAGCAGCACGGGCGACAAGCCAGCGTCCACACAAGCGGCGGCGCCGACCGTCCGTGTCCCGACGGCACCACACGCCGCACATCCGGCCGCCGCCAGCGCCGCCGGCGCGCCCTCACCTCGACAGGGTCGGCCTTGTACGCCTGGCGGGCGAGCTTCAGCGCGCCGTCCACGTCGTCCAGCCGGTAGAGCACGGCAGCCAGGTTGGCGAGCGGCACGTCCACGAACTCGGCCGGCACCGAGTGCAGCGCCGAGCGCAGACACTCGATGCTGTTGGCCAGGCTGCCCTGCGCGCGCCAGTAGAGCGAGGCCAGCGTCTGCAGCACCCAGGCCGGCGCCGAGCCCTGCCAGCAGAGGGCGGCGCTCAGCGCCCGTCTACAGCCGGGCCCGGAGGCTGACAGCCATTGCTGGCACGCGGTGCGAGGGCAGCTCTGAAGTGACGGCACAGTGCTGACATGTGCCACCGCCAGCACTTAGTCTGTTTAGCGCAATCATCACGGTCAAGGCAAGATCTCAACAAGCCGCACAGAAGCGCGTAACAGTGCGACTACGGTCACCGCCACGGATCACCCCAACCCGCGCTATGGTCCCCTCCGCCGCTCTCTCTGCCAGGGACTGAACACGGCCTGTCGCGCCGCCGCCACCTGACCCCACCATCGCGCCGTCGAGCCGGACCGCACCTGCTTGAGCGCGGCCGTGATGCGCTGGCCCAGCTCCGCCTCAACCGTCTGGCGACCGCGCGCGTACGCCATCAGTGCGCGCGACGCCACCGGGTCGGGCCGGCGCTGCGTGACGCGCGTGCGGCCGCGCACCGTCTCCATCGTGTCGTAGGGCAGCACGCGCGCCTGCACCGGCTCGCAGGCGGGCCGGTACCAGGGCAGCGCGTGGTCGTCGCTGAGCGGTACGCCGATGCCCGCGTTCAGGAAGTGGTCGACGCTGGCGGTGGACGAGGCGGTCGCGGGTCAGGTCACACGCGGAGGCGGCCGCGTTGGAGCGCGCTGCGGGGCCTCCATCACCCATCCAGGGACAGGTCGAGTCGGGCCGCTAAAGGCTTGAAGAAGGGACTGGCACAGTTCGGGGAGAAACGCGACAGCAAGAACGCATGACCACACAGCTAGTAGGCGCGTTCCGTCAGGGAGCACTCACTCGAAGCCCTTGTTGTCGGGCGCCAGGAACACGGAGGGAAACTCGTTGGCGCCGGGGAACTTGGTGACCTTCTGGCCGCACTCGTCCTGGGACGGCCAGTCGGGCCGCAGCAGCCGCTCCGTGCCGGACGGGTCGAGCGCGGTGTAGCGGCGGGGCAGCGTGGGCCGGTCGCCGTCGGTCGTCGGCTCGGCGCCCCGGCTCAGCTTAGAGACCTGCTCCTCCAGCCGGTCGGCCTGCCGCAGACATGCGCCTGTTACCACCGGCGCCCCGTCACCGCCCGTCACACCGCAGCGTCAGGCGCACGCGTCCCGCCGGCGGCAGCCGCACAGCAGACCGACACGCTGGCGTCTCACTGAACTGGCCATGGCCAGCGCCGCAGCCTCCGGGCCACGCCACGAAAGTACACCTGTTCGCGTCAGACTACGTTCAACTGCAATCAATGCCTAGCCAACATCCTGCGCCTTCTGCAGCCGGGAAAGTGTCACCGCGGCGCCAGGCAAACGCCTGAGCCTCAGTGGCCCGGCGTGGACAGCGACGCTCGCCTTGGTCTGCAGGTCGGAGAGCTTGGTCTGCAGATCGGACACGGTCTCCGAGCCGCCCTCGCCGGCAGCTGCCGCCATGTTGCAGCTGAGGATACTCTGGCCGTTCTGGTAGTAGCGGAAGCAGGTGTGCCCTGGCCACAGAGCGGGGCGTCAGCCGGCTGCCGGTCACGCTCGGCGCCTGCCTCGGTCGCGGCGGCAGCGCGCGCCGCACCGTCCGACGCTGACTGCGCAGACGCGACCCCTGCCGGCCGCTGCCGAACACGGCTGGCTCTGGCCGTTGTCACGGTGAAGCTTCCTCGCCCCACCGCTCATTCTGTCATCCGTCATGTCACCGCACATGTCAACGTTCAGAGTAGCGGGCTGTGAGGAAAGGAGACAAACTTCAGAATGCCAGCTCTTCGGACACACGGCTCAAGCTGTCGTGTCCGTCGGCTCAGCCAACGAGGAACAAGGGTCACAACCCACTTCTTTGCTTCGCCAGAATTACTTTTCCAGCCAAATGACTGGGCGCTCAACTGGACGCACATTTTCAGCATCCCAGTTTTCAGCATTTTTAAAGTTTATGAAAATATGCAGGTCCGACTTTTCATATGGTATGGGTGATGATTCCTTTGACGAGGTCATACCACGTGCATCTCGAGTTTTGAAGTCCGATGACGCTTTTTTTCGTCGCGGAATACGCGTTCCAAAGGACTTCACTGCGCACATATTTGTTGCATATTGCCGTACGGTGATAATGCGATTCAAAAATTCCACTTTGGGCCGTTGTCCAAGGCCAGACGCGGAAAATGCGAGTGAAGTTTGCCTGTAGACACCATCTGTTGTGCCTGCACCGCGTTTACTCCCCGAAATAACTGGGTGGATGCTAAGCACACTATGCCCGCCCTACGTAACCTGGCTTCACACGTCACAGGTCACGTGCCCCGATCGGCTAACATGTCACTCGGCACGCCAATGGGTATACCGTATCGCTTTATCCACAAACATAGCACGGGTCTGGAGAGACGAGAGGACCAACATCGCTTAACCTATCTGGTGTGACCTGGTTTACCAATCGAAGGCCACTTACACCCGTATTCAATAGCATTAATCTGATGCAGTTTCGCATAAACTATCCTATGCTATTTGGGCTTGGCCCTATCAACCCCACTTTCGCGATAGTAGTTTAATGTTTCAGCGTGAGCCACACAGACTGGAGGGCGCCGGCATCAGGCACAGGCGAGAAAATCGGCCTTCTGGCGCGGGTTGAGAATGGCCGTCACACCTTCCCACCGGTCGGCGGGTACGCGCGAGGAGAGCTCGCGCACCCTGACGCCTGGCTGTGGCGCTCACCCTTGCCGTCGGAGCTCTCGCGAATCTTCTGCTCCTCGTAGTTGAGCCTGGACTCGATCTTGGTGTCGAGCTCGGCCTGCTCCCGGATCAGCTTCTCCTGCTGCTGCAGCCACAGCGTGTGCTGCTTCTGGTAGCTGCGCAGCTCGGCCAGGGTGTTCTGCAGCGAGCTGCGGGGGAGAGGGCGCCGTCAGCCGCGGCCCGACCGGGGACACGTTACAGACTCCCCCACGACGAGCGCAGCAGTCAGAGCAGCACACACGCTCCCATACTTTAAAACCGATAGCGGCAGTTACGCACACCGCGCCCGGCCACAGGTCAGCCATCATTGTTCCGTCCAGCCCGGCAGTCCGCGCACCAAGCTCAGCTTCCCATGCCTCGACATCATCTCAGCGACCACGACCGTTCACGTATCTGACCCGGCCTCCGACGCTGCATCCCACTTACACGGACCGCGGCCGTCCACACGCGAGACCAGACAACACAGACAGTGCAGCAGTCGTGGCAACGACGGCGTTATTCACACGTCCGCTCACGTCCTCTGCGTTTCCCCACACGACAAACGACGTTCACATACAAAACATTGCCGAGCATCGCGCGACAACAACACATCTTTTTCTTTCTTTTTGAAAGAAAAAGAGCTAACAGATCGCACACGACCACACTCGGCCGTGGCCAGCGAGGGTGTCGGTGCCGACGGCGGCGGCGCCGCACGTCGGCCGCTCACTTGTGCTGGCTCTCGAGCGCCGTCTCCAGGCGCTCGTGACAGAGCACGGCGTGGCGCCGCTTCAGCGCCCCCTCGTGCTGCGGCTCCAGCTTGACGGTGTTGTTGAAGCAGGTGGCCGAGCGGTTGTAGTCGCCCAGCACGGCGTAGGCGTTGCCCAGGCCGTAGTGAGCCTCGGCACTCTGGTCGTGGTGGTCGACGGCTGCGTGCAGCACGACCGCACCGCTCTCGCTGTGGTGGCACCGGTGCAGGACCACGCCCAGGTCCACCAGGCTGACGAACCGCTCCACCCTGGAGGGCCGCGCCAGTGGCCGGTCAGCGCCGCCGGCCGCCAACAGTACGGTACTCCCTCCGCAGAAGTACGGCACGCTGGGACAGTAGCAGCACTAGACGAGCCGCATCTCGTCATCCATTGACAGCACCCATATTTCCCGTATCGCGGCACACTTCATGGGTGGAGGTAATGAGACGTGGGTATATATCTAGTTGTTTACTTTACGTTGCCTGACGGACGTGCTTACACCAGCAGTGACATGCTGTACAGCAGCTCCCGGTATAACGCCACCGACGGGGTCGGGCACGAGCGGCGGAGACATGGCGCGCCACAGGCGAACGCTGCGCCGCTGCACGGCTCTCTGGCCAGCCGGAGAGTCGGCGTCAGACGCGCGCACCACCGGCCGGACGCGGCGGGTGGGGCTGGTCCACTGACCTGCTGGAGAGGTGAATGGCGCGGCGACTGCACTCGACGGCGCGGGGCGCGTCGCCCTGGATGCGCCAGTACAGGCTGGCCAGCTGGTACAGCACCCAGGCGCCCGGGCGGCGGCGCAGCGCCAGCTCCACCCGGTGCCCGAACTCGTGCACGTTCTGCTGGCCGACCAGCTCGGCCAGGCCCAGCTCGGGCGCCATGGACAGGTGGCGGCGGTCCTTCATGCCCTGCGGCGCGTGACGTCACGACCAGGCGGAGTCAGCCGAGCGGCGAGGCCGGCTGGCTGGCTGCCAAGCCGCGGGTCCGCAGACCGGGAGGGTGCGGACGGCTCGCGGGGTGAGCGGAAGGGAACAGGGCCGGCTCGGACGTCATAGACGGGGACGAGGGAGCCGCGCGTCCCGAAACGGGACCACTAAGAGCACGTAAAAACACGAAAAACACACCGGGAGAAGGGAAAGGTGGTGACGAACAGAGAGGACGATCGCTGCGAGAACAGATTCCAACATAATGTACGTATTACGACAACGTGACGATGTACCACGGCAAAAACAGAGTGTACCAGACAAGCCAACAGTGATCACAAACATACCCATTTAGTATCTGCCTGTTCGAAAGTTCCTTACGTGCACTGCTTCACCATGCTTTGCACAAGGTTCCTCATCAATGGCTCCCAGGCAATCGCGGCATCGGATGCAGCCTCTTCTACGCTGTCATCGGGGGCGAGCAGACACGCCAGGGCGGGACGAGCGCGGCAGATGACGCCCGTCTCCGCCCAGCGGGGACCTACCACCAGATGCTGGAACGTGTCCATGCTGTAGTCGAGCGCCTTGTGCGTCTCGCAGTCGGGCGGCACCAGCTCGCCGGCCACATGCTTCGAGTCGATGTAGTCCTCGATCCTGCAGACGGGCCCATTCACGGGGCTGGTCAGGAGCTGGTCTGGACCACGCGAGAGCGGGAGCCAACAGCGCATCGGACGAGCCGGCCGGAAGCCTGACCGGACACCTACGCAAATACTTCACATACACACATATCCACCCGCAAATACCCCAGAACCTGCTAAAACGGACACCCCGTTTTAACAGTCGGATCTCGGCGCAGCGAGCGGCGAGGAGAAACGAGAAGTCAGCAGCCTGTTGGCGTGCCGGCCTTAAGTGGCCGCCACCGCGGCATCACTCGCGGGCATGGCTGCGCGACGACGCGCCAACGGCACCGACACGCGCGTGCGGCGGTCGCTGACCTGATGCCGTACTTCCGCAGATTGACGGCCACGCTCGGGTACAGATCGAACTCGGTGAGCGGCTGGCCGGCCACCAGACAGTGCGGGTCCTCCGTGTACAGCTTCTTCTCCACGTCCTGGTCCCGGTCGTCGTTCTGGTCGATCTCCACCTGGAGTGTTGCGGATAGCGTTCAGCAGGGGACCGGCGGCCGCCGTCACAGCGGCTCCGGACGGGGAGCGGCAACACGGCCTCCGGACGGGGAGCAGCGACACGGTCTCCGGACGGAGAGCGGCGACACGGTGACCGGACGGAGAGCGGCAGAGCGGCAACACGGCCTCCGGGCGGACACCCACTCCTGGCCCACCAGAGGAACAAAGCAGCTGGGCCGCAAAACGACGGCAGTCGGAGCGCCCTGAACCCCAATGGCATCATCATCATCATGAACCCCAATGTCATCATCTGCAGTGACTGGGTCGGGCGGCTGCCAGAGCCCATGCACACGCTATTAAACTGACGGCTGGGGCACACGAGGCTAATGAGTTACAATATTTTGCGCGGCGATGAAATTAAATTTAATGACATTTTTGTGTTGGGTTTCATTGCACCTTTCTCTGAGCGGCTTCCGGTAACACCTAGGATAGCCATGCGAGTCTCTTCTACCGGCATGTCATTCAGTTTCACTCCTGGCACACCAAAGAGAACGCCCACTGACGCGGAGAGCCCCAGAGGAGATGAAATTCAGTTTTCCAACTACAACCTTGCATGTTACCACCCTCTTTTGGTCACCTTCCATCCAGCGTTTACCGGAGGATGGTAACGGGAGGCAGTGTCTGAGATGCAGCATTCAGCGCAAGCGCGGACCACTCAGTGCCAACGCATCCTGGGCCGACGGAGCCCTCCCTGCCACCTCCCACCTTGTGAGTGAGCAGGTCCTTGTGCAGCGACTCCACCATGGAGGCACGCCGCTCCTGCTGCGCCATCGAGATGAAGTCGTAGGGCCGCTTCATGAAGAAGATCGAGTCCATCTGGAAGAGGCCAGCACCGGCGACCGGTCAGCGTTCGAGCCCCGGACGTGTGCAGCTGCACCGGCGGTGGGGGCAGACGACAGTGACAGGACAGCACACAGTTGACAGTGACGGCTGGCGGGGGGGGGGGGGGGACTGTCCGGAAATCAGCTCCCCTGTCGTTGATCGTCAGCCGACACAAATCCCCACGCTTCAGATACATCCAGCCCAAACACCGTACACTCTCTAAGGAGCCATCGCCACGAGCTGTTCGGGCTCGCAGCGCCGTGCTTGCCTGAGCCTGGATGCGCCCGTCCTCGGTCATGATCCAGTGCGTGGAGCACCAGCTGCCAGGAGGCGGCCACGGCCAGGTCAGCAGCAGCAGCAGCACGCACCGCATGGCGCCGCTCGTCCTGAAACCAGTGCCAGTCACCAATCCCCCGCTCAGCACACCTGTGCGCCACAACCACGCTGTTTCCAGCAGCTTTCCTGGTGCAAACCAGCAAGGCACAGCACAAAATACCAATTATGCATCTTAAGTTGAAAAGGAACCCCAAAATACTAGAGTGGAAAAATATTGCAAAAAAATATCTGCAAATGAGAGGGGCAGAACATTAGCTTTTGACATACCATTAAACTTATGCAGGCAGCTACCTCCCAGGTCATCTAATAAGATGACTCATGCTCCTCTCTGATGCCATGCAGTCTTCAGGGTGCAGTGCTAACAAAATTGTCTTCAAAGGCACAACAATGGCATTGCAATCAGTCAGGCAAATCAGCAATCAGGCAAAACTCAAAAACACTAAACCTGCCCAATAATTAGGCAGTTCACCCACCTGCCAATCTTAGTAAAATCCCACCCAGCATGACGCTCCCTGATGACGAGCAGCACCCATGGATAGGCAGGAGAGACATATGTTTTGTTTTACCTATCCTTAAATTTTAAAAGGTCTCACATGTTTTTTGGTAATATTTTCTAAAAAAAGTTGCACCACCTCCTTGAGACCTGATGAGCTATCCTGTTTGTTTTGTACATGGTGAGCCAGAATTTTGCAGAAAATGGTCAGGAACAGTTCCAAAGCTTGATTTTGGGAAAGACCTCTGCTGAACTTTGCCATCAACATCCATGCCCCCATATCAACATATCCCTTTGCCTTCCCATGCATCATTGGTGGTCTGACAAAAACATGAACAAAGTGCATGTTGACATGCATGGAGTGTTGCAGCTTGAGATATAGTTTTAAAGCAAACACCATGGAGGATTTAAAACAATATGATGAGATATTGAGGTCAGTATGCTCCTGTGCCAGGGCTAAGCCCACAAGCAACCAAAACAAATGTCAGGCATGGGGAGAAATAACTAACTGTTCACTTCTCTAGTGGAGCCTCACTGGTGTTCTAGGTAAATCAGGAATGTGTATGTGGTACATAGAAACTTTTTTGTACTAGGGCAGTTCCATGAAGCAGAACAGAGGAAGAAAAGGCTGCAACACTACCAGTCAAATGAGCACAATTTTATCCTCCTCAACACTATGGGAGCATCTCCATTTTTATAAGGTTATTGGTGCTATCTAAAATGCACTTCAGGATATCTAGCCAACAAATTGCACAGCGTATAGCATATATCATGCCAAATAAAGATATGTCATTTGATTCACCAGTTAGAGAAGGCTGACCACTAATAGGAAACCAGAGAAGGCAGCATGTGCATCACAATTCAGGTATCAAATGGCTTAACAAGACTTTATAAATGGATACTGGTAGGTGCTCTACCGAAATAATAGGACCTAATACAGATGTTTACATTTCCATAATTACTTTCAAACCAATTTGTTTACCTGTGCCTCAGAGAAGTGACAGATGATGACTTGGTAGATAGGAAAACATGCCAAGTTTATTATCAACAGTACTCCAGAGAAAATATGCATGCATAGTGGGCTATTAACATCCAAAGTCATTACACATAAGACCAGGGCCAACATGCTGCTGGATGCCTTTTCCAGGACAGGAATTTAAATGAAAGAATAATTTGGAGCTTTCATAGCAAATGAATACAATGAATAATGGTCCATCCAAACCCCCCAAGAGCCTGTAGGAACAGCCATGCTCCTAGTGGTGCTTCTGCAATTACCATGCCCACATTCCATGCCATATACATATATATATATATATATATATATATATATATATATATATATATACTTACTACACCACAACGGAATAACAAAACCAAAACATTGAGTCCAGAAGACTGGCATATACCATCTACAGCAGAGATACCTTACCAGTCAAAAACACAGCTGGTGCATCATGCTCTATAATTGCCAGGAATAAATAATGTTTATATGGGTTCAAATACTACCCAGTGTGAAACATCTTGATCAATGCAGACATTGGCAGCAAGGTGATGGTTTCCTTTTTGCAGGAGGGGAGGGAGGGAGAGCTCCTGTTGTTTCAGCTTTTAGAAGAAAAGGGGCCTAGTTCAGTGTGAAACCTAGACTTGCATTGTTTTTTGGCTGTATGTTTAGCCATTTTTGCCTGCTCAGACTCCTGCGTCCTCTTTTAAAAACTAGTCATCAGCTGAAAGCCACTCATAAAAACGTGAAGAGTAATTATGATGGGATTCACACCACCCCACTTCATCAGAATTACCGTGAATTCCTTACAGATCCGATGACATCGCAGTTTCTGCCAAGGTATTTTTGGAAACATCTGCCACCCGTGTTAAAAGCCCAGACAAGTACAAAAGTCACAGAGGTGTTCCATGCAAAGCTGACATAAAAGTTCCTTAGGTTGTTTCAGTAGGAATGTCAGTATCTTTACCAGGCGGTGATGCGAGTAAAATTGGGTTCCTTATCTTCACATCCAGCGTAATCGGAGCTTGACCCTAGCATGCATTATCAACAAACCTGCGCTGCAAAAGCAGCGCAGATGTTACAAATCATCACAGCTGTTGGTTACCATATAAAGTTTTACTGCCATAAATGGTGAAAGATCATGCTAAACGGGACAACATAGCTTTCAGGCACAGTTTGCATTATCAGCTATTGACAGAAGATAGTACTAGCTGTCTGGGCAAATTACATGTCGTTGGTCGCGGGCAATGATGATTTGATGTTCACTGCTCATCATCAAGGGCCGTTTTTTTGGATAAGCCAGACATGTCCTGGGCCTGGAAAACGGCCCTCGTTGCAAACAAGCCTCTAGGTACCACGCAACGAGTAATCAATATGTCTACTGGTGGGTCGTGCTGCAAAGGGGATGGGAGCCTCCACCAAGTTAGCGAAATTGGACGTTGTGCTATGAGCCTTTATTGTGTTATACCGTAGTGTGGTGCAGTGCCCATATGCGCTGTTGCGGGCGACGTGCCCGTGCCAGGCACCACACATCGCACCGCTTGTCACGGCCGCGCCCCGGCCGACGGCGCTGCGGGCTAGTCTAAGTTACGTGGCCTCGACCTCTGGCCAATCAGCGGCGGCCCTTGGTGGGGCCGAGCCGAGGTCAGGCACGGGGCGCGAACGGGGGCCAGTCGAGTCCTAGCTTCCGACTGATGAGGTCAGCGTTCTTTATGTCCCCGTCCTCGTTTTAAGCCGCCAGGAACGGCTAAAGGGTTTGTGCCCTACCTTGCCTACCGCCGGCGGCGCGGGGCACCCCCCGAGGGCCGCGACCCTGTACTCCTACCAAGCCCTAGTGGATGCTCAGTGGTAATGAGCTCCGCTGCTTCCCCGGAAGACGTTGTGTCCGCAGAATGATGTTATGCATGTGATATAGCAGTATGATTGGGGCGAGGGATAAAGAGCGGTCACCAGCACAACATGGAGTGAGTTGGAGCGGCATCTGGTGTAACGAATGGAAATAGCGCTCAATAAAATCCAATGCCTCCACCAAATGTCTCTTCTTGGTGTATATTCCGCATGCGCCCAATGCATCCAGGAGCTGTACTGAGGTGGTTGGCTGCAAGGATGCGTTAACTCCGTGATTAAGGACCAAAATCGTTCTTCATTCAAAATTCTTATTTGTCAATTTCAGGGCTTCAGGATGGAAACAAAACGTATCCCGCTGCTTCATTTCCTTTAGCAGGAAGCTTTCCTCTAAATCATTTGAATAACTTTGTGCTACAGTTGGCATGCGTGTTCATCGCCACGAACAACCAGAGCATAGAAGTCCCGCACTGTTCCGTGAATTCACGCGCACACGCCGCTTATGACACTCATAGATGTGCACGATATCGGTATACCGTGAGAGGTCTGTAGCAGCAAGGCGACTATCAAAATCTCATCGGCCATGTTATCAACCTGAATGAAGCTCACATCATAATTGACACATCAAGGTCTCCAGCCCATTTCCACATCATTTATCCCCTCCACAGTATCCTGAAAGGTGATTTCTCAAGATCATTGAGGGAAATCAGTCATGGAAGTCGCCAGAAGCGAAAAGGTACAAAACTTCTCGGTTTTGTCCACTAACGCTCTAAGTTTTGTTTATATATATATATATATATATATATGTATATATATAATAAGTAATCTACAGCTACCACATATTTTTTAAACCTCAGGTGCGTAACCACATTAACCACTTATGGAAGCATGACACTGCATCAACATGTTATAAGCGCACTTGTTTTGTGTCGGTGAAAGGGGTGAAGTTATGCCTCTCTCTGGCATATTGAGAAGTAAAATATGCGTATAATTTACGATCATCCAATTTTTATGCATCACAACCCTTTACACGCAGCTTCTCGCTACACCAAAATTTCATCAATAAACAATATTGTGCATTTCAAGCAGTGTAAAGGAAAACAGAAGCACTCCTCCACGCCTGAGTCCCGGAAATGGTCCTAGGCCTTTAACCAAATATGCTTTGGCAGATGTCCTCCTGTTGAGGATGTCTCTTTCGCTCATCTCATTACACACGCATTCCATGCCCGCTGTGCTTCTAGCCCAGTAAATATTTTATCGTGGCCCCGGCTGGTCCCAGGCGGGCAGACTGGATGGACAGTGGCAGGACGCCCAGCGGGGCGCGGATGGCCCTTGCAACATTTGTTTGATAGGGCGCGTGCGGGCTCTTTTTCGACTGTTTCTTCGAGCTGGGAACCTGCCTGACCCCACCTGGTAGACGCGCTGTGTACCAGCTGGGCACAAGTCCGTGCCCGGAATGGACCCGCAAAAAACCTGCGCGGCAGAGCGGAATACATGATGGGTCCAACAAGGGCGTCAGCTGGTCTCTGGCACGGCGCCAGGTGGGCTCTGACACTGCGCCAGCTGGGCTCTGATACGGCACCAGCTGGGTTCCGACACGGCGCCAGCTGGGCTCTGCACGGCACCAGCTGGGCTCCGACACGGCGCCAGCTGGGCTCTGACACGGCGCCAGCTGGGCCCTGACACGGTGCGAGCTGAGCCCTGGCTACGCAAAGCAGGACTACCCGAGCGGGACTGAGTCTGGCACATACCCGTTTTTTTATCCATGCCACCTGGAGTGAGCAGTGCAATGCTTGACTCAACAACAGTTTAATATTTTGTTCCCTGATCCCACCTGGCTGCAGTACAGGTCGTTTAAAGTGATAACGCGGCCTCTGACACTGTGCTGTTTTAGTTTGAACATATTCATGTTATAAATATGCATAAAAACGGCCTCAACCCTAGCAACCCATGTCTTTTTTTGCTATATGAAAGGCTCATACAGCACTGGAAAAGGTACCTAATGTTTTGTCAACTTTGGAATGCATTCCAATTTTAACCAAGGTCACATGGTATCGCGTGGACTTCACCAGTAATCATCACAGAATGCTAGGCAGTAAACCTGGCACACTGCTTTCCTATTCCGAAAACGAAATTCTATGGTAGCCGTTTCCAAATAAGATCATGACATTTGGGACTGCATTCGCGAGCAAGGCTATCGTTCTTTGGGGTCTGCAAGGACCTGGCTGGTCTTGCAACCTGGTTTTTAATTGCCATTTTCTAATAAATGGGGCCTCTAAGGGTACTTGAATTGACATCTGCATGATATGGCCGTAGGGAAAGCGTCCTTATCATTTGTATCACACCTAGTCTCACTCTCGCCTCACTCCACGTCCAGAAGTCGTACCAAACTATGGTCACGACTTTATGGCATCTGACCTAAGTCAGTACATATTTTCATTTTAGAGGTTGGAAGTACATCCCTTAAAATATTTTACCAACTACACACTCCGATTAAACGGTTTACAGGTTGATAAGGCTAAGTCAATTTTCAAACATATTTGAGCTCTGAAAGCAGATGACGCAAGGCCATTAACGAGGTCATGACCCATGGCCTGGCAATGGCCAATGACTGTGAAATATGGCTTCAAACCTCAAGGTCTTACCGTTACATCAACATCAATGCCAGCCGAAATATGGGATTGAGGATAAGTCGACAGTTCGATGGGCGAGCATTGTTCGCACGTTGGTGTTCAGTATAACCCGAGCTCCGTAAGTAAACGCTCCGCTGTAAAATGTCATCCCGTGCTTTAACTTTTACGACAATAGATCACGGGATCCAACTCTGCCCACAGCCAAGCAGGGTATGAGAGGTCTCACAGCTCGATGAAGGCCAGATTTTTGATCCAGGCCCTTGATCCAGCAGAGACCCCTCTCGCCAAGGGGCCTGCAGCACGATCTGATGCCAATGGATAGGACGTCATGCAGTCCCGCCACATGGACGAGGCTGCCGCCCTCACAAGCTTCCATTACCGTTGGAACCATTCGGAGATAGCAGCGTCGCTCTCTTTTATCGTTACTGGCCTCCTGCCACTGAGCAAATGTCAAATCAACAGCCCATGGTAGAGGATGTCTGCTCTGAACCAACGCTGATGCCGAATACCACTTGTACTTTTGCCTGGTCCTACACAATACATTGGTAGGGTCAGACTAATCCAGCTCAACGGCGGTGAGTGACCTGCTGAGAGAGCATAGGTTAGGAGCTGTGCCAAACATCGACAGAGTAGATCAATTGCATTTATAATATCATCACAGATGAAGGAAATAGCCTGATCATTCCCTCATACTGGGTCACACTGGGTCATACTTCCATGAGGGTGTCAACTGAAGAAGCCATCTTAAAGACTTTTCTGTGCAGTTCACAGACCTGTCCTTCTTAAGACCTAAACACATATGGTTTCTGAGCTACACTCCAGAGAAAATGGAAAAAAACTATTTCGGGGAGAGTATTTCAGGACCACCTCGGCATCCATCAGGTCATAGCAACGGCATTGAAATCCTACCATCCACAAGGCATGCGATGACTAAGGCCAGGAAAAATATAATGATCGAATCGTTCATGTCTTGTATTTGTGAACATGATTTCCACATAAAACAGTCGTCAATTGGCTCTCAACCAATGCTATGCAAGGTACGATGATATAATAAAGCAAGGACGTATCGAGAAGCATGTTAATTAAGCAGAGAAAATGTGTTCTCTAAAGCAGTCTATTCTACTTAGAATCATACCGAAAGCTATAAGTGAGCTTGTTTCACCATATCCGGTGCTTCCTTCAATATTCTTGAATGTGAAACATCCCTTTAAGCGCCGCCTGCACTCGCGTGGTTTAAGTTCACGTTACAAATTTTATGCGCGTTAGCTATTTCTGCATTCTAGGATCTTCCTGGTACCAGAAAGATCCTGGTGTGAAATTTTATCCTAAGATTTTCTGTGATCAGAGAGCCATTTTTGCGGTTTCCTGCATTGAAGTGATGAAATATTCAAGGATCTCGAGGAATTTTAGAGATTTGCTTGATTTTGCCCGAGATGCTTGGGGCTTCAAAGTATTTGGGGTATCCAAAGACATGTTCAGGTAATTCTCATACATTTATGGAATTACGAGGCCTTGGTAACTGCACCTGTGCAAGCTAGCATAGGGCACCTGAGTGGGTCTACGTCGCAGCTCAA